CAGTCCAGTGGAGCCTGAGTGGTGGGTGTTGCCTTCTGACACACTTCCGGTGATGTCAGGGGGTGTGGCATATGCAAACAAGTTATGCTAATGAGTTATGTTAATGAGCTCCTGCACCTCTTTTTCTATGAAATGACCCCTGAATACAAGGGCAAGTGACTGGCACTATCCCTCAACTCTGCCTATCCTGCTCATTCAGTCTGCCATTCACCTATGTAAGAATGTTTTGCAAAGAAACATATCTTAAAATACAAGTTTAAATGCTTCTGTAAGAAAGAGAAAGATGGTTCAGCAATGCCTTCACAGTCAAATGCTGCTCCTTTCCCCTCTTCATTGTGTTTGCACTTACAGCACTGGTAGGGCCGGAATATGTGTGGTGTAGCACAGCACCAGATAGAAGGTCCCAGGTCAAAACCATTATCAGACATTAAGCCCATTAGGTGGCTACACACTCTCTCTCAGCCTAACCTTCCTCAAAAGATTGGTGGGAAGATAAAGTGGAGGCATGGAGAACTATGTCTGCCACACTGAGTTCCTTCAAGGAAGGGCAGGATCAGTGTTCCCTCTAAGCTGAGCTAGTGTGAGCCAGCTCACAGTTCTTTAGCCTCCGGCTCACATATTTTTGTCTCGGCTCAGGAAGGGATGGCTCCAGAGGCAAACTAATTTATGCAGTAGTCAAATCGCTCATTCACAACTTCAATGCCAGTAGCTCACAAAGTAGAATTTCTGCTCATAAGAATCCACAGCTTAGAGGGAACATTGGGCAGGATAAATACAAAAAGTTATAAATAGGGGAAATTCCAGCAAATCTGGAACTACTTCAAATGAAATATTTGTGTACGTGATGCATGAATGCTTAGGAGACAACTAAGAAAAAAAATTCACTCATGATACATCATACCTGAACCTGGGCATTTATTTTTGCTTAATTCTTGTCCCTAAGATATAAAGAAGTGGATATCAAGAAAAATATCACCCCTCCCCCCTCACATGTATTTACAAGAGGCAAATGGCTAAAAGCCCATGCAGGCAACACTGAAATATGGCAAGTACAGTTTGCCTTTTATTACCCCAGTGTCATAAGCAGGGCTATTTTTGGGCAGGAACGTACAGGAACGGAGTTCCGGCTGGTTCCCGAGTTGGCCACGCCCAGCAGGAACTCATTAGCATAATAGGCCACACCCAACAGCAGAAACTCATTAGGATTGGCTACATTAGGGGTGTGTGGCCTAACATGCAAAGAAGTTCCTTCTACAAAAAAAGCCCTGGGTTTTGACAATAAACAAAGTAAACAGAATAAGAAGCAAAAGGTGGGTGTGGCTGGATGACCACAGTTCTGGTAACATGGGGTGTGGCCTAATATGCTAATGAGCCATGCCGTTGGGTGTGGCCTATTATGCTAATGAGTTCCTGCTGGGCTTTTTCTACAAAAAAAGCCCTGGACATAAGAGAGTTCAGTACAAATATCTCTGTCTTGTTTGAAGTAGCCCTCCAGCCAAGGAGGCAGGGGGCGTAGTCGGGATCCAGACGAATGTTCCAGATTCAAGAAAGCTAGCCTGTAAGCTGAGGAAGTGGAACTGGAAACATGGACTGGAGCTGGAACAGTGCATATCACCAGACCATCGGATTTCAGTGTGTTTTGGAAGCCAATGAAAGGAAGTGTTTAGTACAAAAATGTAACTTGAGATCTTTGTTCAGTTTCCTTGTCACAGAAAATCTCACAGTACATAAAAAGCTTTTAATGTCAGGAGATCTATAAACTGCAGGCTTAGTTCAGACAGGGTCTTTCCTGATGATCGGGCCAAGTTGCGTCAAGACAGCTTTTCCCTAGAAGGAGCTCCAACGCATAAACCACCCCCAGAGGATGTTATTTTCTTGGCAGCTCTTTGAATAGACAGCTTTTAAATACGTTTGTCTTGCCAAAAGGACTTTAGCTGCATTTTCTTATGAATAGCCAACACAGGAAACGACGACGTCTGATTCTTTTCCTATGAGGCCTGTGCGGCTGGGATGTCCCATAAACCAGTTAACAAAAACTAAAGGTAGAATTTGAACCATTTTCTGGGGAGAAAACTTTCCCCAATACAATGGTTACATTTGGACTGAGGATTCTTTCGTCCCTCCTACCTTTATTTGCACTGATTTCTACCTCCATTTCTGAGTTTCAGTAACAACAGTTTGCCATGTCACCCAAAAAGGCAAGCTCCATTGAATGCTAGACTCCATATACATAGGGTTGGAATGGAGCTCGCAGAAGCAATTTCCCCTTTTCTCATGAAGCCCCTGTCACGGCTCAGGTGGGGTGTCCCCTGACGCTGCCACCACTCTGGTTCCAGGCTCCTCTGAGAAGGCCCAGAGCACCCTCCCAAGACCTTCAGACCTCCCTTTTGGCCGAATAATAGGCGTGAGGACCAGGCAGAGTGAACAGAAGATAAGAGAACTGTGAAAACCTGAATTCATCCTCCATGCCTTTTCAAGTGCCAGAATGGTCATGTGCATGCACTCACACACACACACATGGTTGTTTCAGCACTTGAAAAGGCATGGGAGGGAGGAATGAGAGTGCCTCAGCCCACCATACTGCCCTCATGGCATTTTTAAAGCACTTTAAAATGGAAGTGGCTCCACAGATCAGACCCGTGGAGTCTATTGTGAGTCATTTGGCCTTTGGTCATCACAGAAACACCCCTGGAGGAGAATGCATATAGTGTGAAGTGAAGAGTCTAGAGAAGATGTGAGAATTTTCATCCTGGGCATCTAATCAGTCTGCAGTCTTCTCCCTCTCCAAGGTCCTACAGAAGTCTATGCTACCTGCAGGCCAGATGGCAGAAGAATTTCCAACACAAGGGACAAAACCCATAATCTCAGCCCCCAATGACTGGCCAGTGGACTTCTTCTTTGGGGAGGATGAATTCAGGTTTTCACAGTTCTCTTAGCTTCTGTCACAAAAGACAGATGAGTACATGCCACAGATGTCTTTCTAGAACTACTGGATAAAATTCTGGAGCCAGGGGCTTTTTATCATCTAGCTGCTGACCTTTTCTAATCTAGTACTATGAGTTTGCAATCAGCCACCCATCATGCCACACCTGCTCCAGCTGAAAAGGATTAAAGAAAATCGGCATAACATTGTAATTGTTGCCTCATAACATCATCATTTCCACAAGAATGACAGTATTGTCTCTGGACATGACTGCACAGTCTGGAGTTCTATTCAGATTTATCCTGAATGAACTGGTGTGGTTTCAGAAGCTAAAAAAATAATAATAATTCCCGTTAGCTTTCAAATAAGTGTTTTGAGCCAGCTCAGGATCTGTTTTGAGACTTGGTACAGCAATATGTTCTTCAGAATTCAGAAGACAGAAATCCAAATTATGTCATAATGTCAAACACAATCGTATCTGGATTTTTGGACTCTGTTTAGGTTCAGAAAAGTCACTGAGGTCTGGTTAACTCATGAGCATTCAACAATTGATAACTGCAACACCAATGGATGATTGTTGCACATGAGAACAAACTAATACTAACATCATATAACAAAAATATCCTAGATATATCATCTCAAATTTCCTCAAACCCAGGGGTCATTTCCTGCAGGAGCGCACAGGAGCGGAGCTCCGGCAATAAAGAGCTCAGGGGAGTGGGCACATGCAACAAGCCCCGCCCCCTGCTCCCAACAGCGCTCAGTCAGAGCAAGAAGCAGCCAGGTAAGTTGCAGAGCTGCCCCCTGGTCCCCCGGTCCAAAACAGTCCAGTGGCACTTTTAAGACCAAGTTTTATTCCGGTACAAGCTCTCCCTCCTCTGCGAGGACAGATCTGCACGTTTCCCCACCCCCCAATAGTTAGCAATCCGAAACAGTTCAGTGGAGCCTGAGTGGTGGGTGTTGCCTTCTGACACACTTCTGGTCATGTCAGGGGTGTGTGGCTTATGCAAATAAATTATGCTAATGAGTTATGCTAATGAGCTCCTGCACCTCTTTTTCTATGAAATGACCCCTGCTCAAACCCAATACATACTATATATGTCTTAGATCCAGACCAGATGCTTCTGCAGGGCAAAGATTTCCATTCACAGAGGGCAATTTTCCTGTCTCTCCCCCCTCATGGCAGCCCCAAATTGGTCTAAGAGGAGAGAGAACTCTCCGGAGCAAGATTCCAGAGGGCATTTGGGGCTGTCACAGGAGGAGGGGAGGTAGAAAAATCATGAATAGAAATCCTTGTGCCCTTGAAAACATTATTCTGGATCCAGCCCAATGGTCCCTCTAAGCTGTGGAGTCTTGTGAGCAAAAATTCTACTTTGTGAGTTACTGTAATTAGAGTTGTGAGCAAGCGATTTGGTTCTGCATAAACGGGTTTGCTCTAGAGCCATCCTTCCTGAGCTGAGATGAAAATGTGTGAGAGGAGGCTAAAAAAACTGTGAACTAGCTCACACTAACTCCGCTTAGAGGGAACACTGATCCAATCCTATACCTGCAAGTCATCAAGTCTTCAACTCTAGCATGATCAAGTGTAACCTATTGTGAGAACTTACCATAGCAAGACCCACTCCGCTGAAGACAGAGACACTCAGCATAAGCAAAGTCCGGTCTGTACAACGACTAGTTAATTGCCCAATTACTAGACCCTGAAAAACCTATGAAAAAAAAAGGAGAGAACAGATTCACAGATGATGTGACATATTCAAGAGATGTAAAGGTCAAAATACAAGTATAATAACAATCGATTGGCACAGTAATGAGATAATACGGAAAACAAGAAAAACCGTGAAAACGTGACACTTAATATATGTCTTTAAAGAATCATAGAAAAGTGAACAAAAATAATGTACATAATCATAGAAAAAATATATTGACGGTGATCTCCGGAATGTCTTGCCGTTTCGAAGGAAGATCTTCTTCTGAACAAAGATGTGGGACAAAAACTGTCTCTCAATAGTTCATATCCTCTGGTGACGTCTCACAATTATCAAAGAAGATTTTCAATAATCATAACAGCTGTAATGTATAGTAGAACCTCCCATGGGCTAAGATGATTGTAATGCTTCGAAACGGCAAGACATTCTGGAGATCACCGTCAATATATTTTTCTATGATTATGTATATTCTTTTTGTTCACTTTTCAAATGATTCTTTAAAGACATATATTAAGCGTCACTTTTTCACAGTTTTTCTTGTTCTCCGTAAGGTCAAAATACAAGCCAAAAATGAAAAACAGTGCTGTATCTATGGTGGATTCCTCACACTCTCCTTCAAACAGTAGTGTGTTTTGAAGGGCTTCTACATGGCATCGTTGTGTCGTTGGCTACCTTCCTCGTTTCCCTGGTTTTCCTGTATTTTTCCGAAACCTGTTTTGGTACAATCTTTCCTGAAGTATCGTGTTCAAAGTAGGTTTGGGTTAACATAAGAACATAAGAACATAAGAGATGCCAATGTTGGATGAGGCCAAAGGCCCATCCAGTCCAACACTCTGTATCACACAGTGGCCAGAAATACCAGTGCCATCAGGAGGTCTACCAGTGGGGCCAGGACATTTGAAGCCATCCCACTGTTGACCCCCCCAAGCACCAAGATGACAGAGCGTCACTTGCCCCAGAGTCCCTATCTATACCTTGTGGCTAATAGCCACTGATGGACCTCTGCTCCATATGCTTATCTAATTCCCTTTTGAAGCCGTCCATGCTTGTAGCTGCCACCACTTCCTGTGGCAGTGAATTCCAAGTGTTAATCACTCTTTGGGTGAAGATCACAGTTTTTCTTGTTCTCCGTAAGGTCAAAATACAAGCAACACTGATCCAATAGTGCTGTATCTACGGTGGATTCCTCACAGAGGTTTCACGTCACACTCTCCTTCAAACAGTAGTGTGTTTTGAAGGGCTTCTACATGGCATCGTTGTGTCATTGGTTACCTTCTTCGTTTCCCTGGTTTTTTTGTATTTTTCCCAAACCTGTTTTGGTACAATCTTTCCTGAAGTATCGTGTTCAAAGCAGGTTTGGGTTCCCTGCCTACATCCAGTGCCATGTCCTCTTTCATTTCCTCTTGCACGTGCCATTCCCCCACCCTCTGCTGAACGTTTTGCTTTTTAAAAAAATCAGCAGTAGGTCTATTGCTATAGCAGCATTACACTATCAACATAGCTACTGGAAAAATGAAAGAGGGAGTAAGTGATGGGGGTTTTTGTCTCTTGTTTGGGTTGTTACAATTTCTGCAGTATTATGAGCAGGTTATATTGATACTAATGGATAGTAAAATTAAATCTGGGTGAAAACAGTTAGAATCAGATAGATTTTTAATTACCAAGGTACTTTCAATAAAGTGGTTTATTAAAAATTAGGTATTTAGTATTTGAAATGTAGTTCCATAGGGAGATCTTTGACAATTTAATAAATTTAATAGAATAAATTTTGGCAACTTCGTAGAGAGGCATGAAATACGTGATTTGTAAAACCAATGATATGATAACGTATTAGGGAGATGGAATGAATGACTATTATTTATATGTCAATTTCCCCCCTCTTTTTCCAGTCTGTTGTTTTTTGTTTTTCTGGGATGTGAAAATAATGAATGATTATTCTGTTATTTCTTTTTGAAAAGTAATAAAAAGAGTTATTTTAAAAAACATAGCTACTGGTGGCTGGCAGGGGGGAACAGAGGAAAGAATGGAGAAACTGCTGACCCCTGCATATAGAGGTGCCATTCACACTGCAATTTCTTCTGCATTTGTAGCAGCAATTGCCCTTGTGGGTAAGCAACCTGTAACTGCGGCGGTGGTGCTGAGTGCTGCCAAGTCACAGCCAACTTACGGCAACCCCAAAGGGTTTTCAAGGCAAGAGACTAACAGCGATAGTTCGCCATGGCCTGCCCCTATGACTGTTAAAGGTAAAGGTTCCCTTGCTCGAAAGCCAGTCGAGTCCGACTCTAGGGTTGCGGTGCTCATCTCCATTTCAAAGCCGAAGAGCCAGTGCTGTCTGAAGACGTTTCCATGGTCATGTGGCCGGCATGACTAAACACCAAAGTGCACGGAACGCTGTTACCTTCCAACCGAAGCGGTCCCTATTTATCTATTTGCAATTTCTTGCTTTCGAACTGCTAGGTTGGCAGGAGCTGGAACTAGAGATGGGAGCTCACTCCGTCATGCGGCACACTCGGGTCTCAAACTGCTGAACTACCGACCTTCCACAGCCTGCAGTTCAACCGCTTAACCACTTGAGCCACCGCAGCTCCTCTATGACTGTTACCAACCTAAAAAGTGACTTTATATTAATTTTTTTGGCCTTCATTTCCCCTTTTGGTACAAGGGGCTGAGGACTTAAGGAGATTGATGAAAGCCTCACAAAACATTACATACAAATATTGAGGAGCAGGTGGCCCCTTTTTTAACTTCAGAGGAAAGCTGTTTTAGGAGGGAGGGGAAAGGGATAAATGGTGTGTGCGAGTGCGAGAGAGAGCTGCTTCTCCACTTCATATTACTCCCCAAACCATTCTGTTTTCCCCTTCAATAATTCTAAATGGATGTTTGTAAGGGTAAGTGTTGTTGGAAATGTATGGGTTGCACGGTCTCAGATTCCAGTCATTATAGGGTTAACTTGTTTACCTTTCTATGCTATTGTTTAGACTGACCTGGAAGGGAAAATCTTGCACAGAGCCAATGGGGAGAAAGCCCGGGAAAAGTGGTCTGTCTTGTAATACTGATTGGTTCCTGGTTTCAGGTGACTTCCTTTCTAGGGGTCAAGAAGAAGGAGGATTCTCCATTGCTGTTACTTGTGTGACCATGCTTTCTAGAAGAAGGATGTGAAAATGTAACTCTAGACATGTTTGTTACTTTGTAGGTTTCCTGTGTACCTTTTACCCTTAGAAATAAAGCTTTTTAAACAGAAAGAAATGTCTCCTCTCCAGTGAAGCAAAGCACCATTGTAAACTCTGAGTAATTAAGTATTTTTGACTATTTTTACCAACAAGTGTGTGTGTATGAAAATCCTTAGAGTGGCTGGAGGGGGGCATTTTTTTTTTAAAGCAGAAACGTGACAGGCAAGAAAGGGATTAAGCATTCTCCCTGTTCGACCACTCTAAACGGTGCAAATCAGAGTCTTCTCTAAATTCCTCCGGAAGCTTCTGCCTCTAATTAAAGGCAATCAGAATTTTGTTACATGCATTTGCAAGAAATATTTAGCTAGGCTTCAAATGCCTTAAGGGGCTTTATTTATTTATTTAAAATAGGTACACCCTGTGCTCTTGGCGAGCAGAGCTACGGCAACAGCACCTGATTTCCTGCAATTAAAGCAATAAAACACACCAGTCGATCAAAAGCAAAGAGGCAATAAAACAACATCAGCCCAGTAGCAGACGAATCAGTAACACAATAGCATTACCAACCCCCCACCCCCTAAACACACCACTCTAGGGGCAGGTATAACCATTGGGAGGAAGAGAAATAAGGCACAGGGGAGAGATCGCCACAAGCTCCAGAGAAGAGCTTGAAAGCACCTTACAGTTCTCCTGCTTCAGAGATGGCTGCAGCTTTGAGCAGTGTTGTGGTGGGAACCACCTGTAAACCTTTTTGAGCTCCCCGCCCCAATTTTAATGTATTCTCGGTTTTCTGTTTTCTTTTTAATTATTTAATTTTCACATGCAACGTAAGACAATAACTGAAACTACAAACCAGGGCTATTTTTGGGCAGGAACGCACAGGAACAGCGTTCCGGCTGGCTCCCAAGTTGGCCACACCTGGCAGGAACTCATTAGCATAATAGACCACACCCAACAGCAGAAACTCATTTGGACTGGCTACATTAGTTCCTGCTCCAAAAAAAGCCCTGGGTTTTGACAACAAACAAGGTAAACAGAATAAGAAGCAAAAGGTGGGTGTGGCTAGATGACCACACTTCTGATAACATGGGGGTGCGGCCTAATGGGCTAATGAGCTGTGCCGCCAGGGATGTGGCCTAATATGCTAATGAGTTTCTGTTGTTGGGTGTGGCCTGTTATGCTAATGAGTTCCTGCTGGGCTTTTTCTACAAAAAAGTTGGGCGTGGCCTATTATGCTAATGAGTTCCTGCTGGGCTTTTTCTACAAAAAGAGCCCTGCAAGTGTAGCAGAGTGTATATTAGAACAAATTTAGAGTCCAGTGGCACCTTTAGGTGTGCAAAGTGTGCACACGAAAGCTCATACCTTGAATAAACTTTTGTTGGTCCTAAAGGTGCCACTGGACTCTAAATTTGTTCAACTGCTTCAGACCAACACAGCTGATTAGGGTTGCCAGCCTCCAGGTGGGGCCTGGGGATCTCCCGCTTTTCCAAGTGATCTCCAGCTGATAGAGATCAGCTCCCCTGGAGTAAATGGCTGCTTTGAAGGGTGGACTCCCTGGCATTGTACCATGCCGAGGCCCCTCCCCTCCCTAAACCCCGCCCTCTCCTGGCTCCACCCCCAAAGTCTCCAGGTATTTTCCAACCCAGACCTGGCAACCCTACGGCTGACTACCTAAAGTTTATATTAGACATCCTTAACTCATACTGACTAATCTGATATGTAATTTTTTCCATTACATGTGTCTCCCGTATCTTCCAATACCATAATGTGAGTGTAGGTGGATCTGGACTCTTTCTTGTTAAAGCTATGACTGATTTTGCTGCCACCAAA